AGTGGATTTTTTTTGATACGTTCAGTAAACTTTCACATACCAGGTGGAGCGCTGAGACAGTCTGTGGTAAGTCCGTTTTTTTAATTGTTTGCATTTTACGAGTACATTATCAATAATGAAATACTACCTAAGAGCCAAAAATGACAAACTCCACCTTTATTTACACTGCCTTCCGTAGTAATTTGCGCCTGGCATTGCGGCGTTGTCAGATTTTATTTTACTTTAAAGTCGCTTTCTCTAAAAAAAATGCAGTTTTGACCCTGATGTTATATGAAGCTTTTGCTTCTTTTAACACCCTCTATCACCCATTTAAATAATGAATATCATAACGTTTACACTCTGTATAACAGAAAATCTGGAATAACATTTGTAGTGATTAGTAACCAAAAACTAATTTCAAAATGCAGGTTCTTCAAACTTCCAATTGTTACTATTTAAAAATATGAGTAAACCTTTTGAACGATCAACCATCAAACTATTTATTTGTTGCTGCAAAAGAACGAACTGTATAGACACCTTCTGTTAAACAAGCGTAACACGGTTATTCATTCTAAACACGGTTAGAAGCTAAAACATTCAAACGATTAGCCGTTTAGCCGCTTAAGCGTTTAACAGCTCAGTCGTTTAACCTTTTAACCGTTTATCAGTTGACCAGATTAACAGTTTAACCGTTTAACATTTAACTATTATCATTTTAACCATTTAACCGTTAGACATTTCAACCGCTTAACCGTTTAACCTTTTGGCATTTTAAATCGTCTAACCATTTAACCCGTTTAGCCGTTTAATCGTCTGACTGTTAAACGGGCTATGGCAAGACTTCTGGAAAAACTGTTCAAACGAGGAAAGGGTGAAACGTTTTAAAGCCGAGCCCTTGGTTATTTGTCTAAATAAACCTTCGCAGTTACGGTTGAGAGGATAATTATTGTGCTGCAAGATATACCCTCATTCTGAGCTATTCAGGAAATCAAGATCACTCATAATACAAACGGCAAACTCTTGATAACCCAAAACAGATAAATTCGTAGTATGTTACCCTGAACTATAGCCAAAGAAAAGAACAATCACAGGCCCGCTGCAGTTGCAGTCACGACTCAGTGGCAAAGGCGTTACTGCAGTCCATAATTAAAACGTCGTCACCCCCCACCCTATTCCATTTGTGACGTGACAACAAACGGAGTCGGCACGCTGCCTTTTCCATATTTAACTTGAATGGGCCTTCGCCAAGCCACCAGAGGGACCGTTGGCCCTTTGAGGAGGAGTCGCTTGTTAGTCTTTTGTCTGGAACCGCGCCGGCTAACGAGGAATCTTACTTCCGGGTCACCTGGACCCACTGGGGAATCTTTTGTCGCCGCTAATGAGAACGGAGTAGGCATAGCTTGTCATTATTGAGGCGAGATGCCAGTCAAAAGTTTATTAAGGTTACAATAGCGCGTTGTGGTGCATATTTCAATGGAATATGCCTGTGACTATTCCACTGTTACAGGTTTATGTTTAGATAGATGAGCTAGAGAACGTAGAATGACATTTTTGGTAAGTCTAAGGTTCAATACAATGGGAAATAAATAATCAATTATAAAAACAGATAAAGTTCATCCGTTGATGATATCCGCGACGTTGCCAAATCTACCGTTTGTCATAAATTGATAACAACTTTTGTTTTTCTCAAAGAATGCTATACATTTTATTCGTTATTTGTATTCCGCGAGAAATTCTGAGTACTCTTCATGTAAGATATTTTGACGTAGACCTCATAGTATTCGAAATATTCGCAGTCAAACATTAGTATATAAACAATAAAATATGTTTTTCACCTAGGTAATGACCGGTATCGAAAGTAATATCCTGTATCAAGTGAATCATTCTCATAACTCTACCAACAAAACTCAATCGACTTTTAATGAGAGAAATAACTGAAAATTACTTTCCATACCTGTTATTGCTCAGGTGAAAAAAATACTTTTTATTGTTTAAATATTAATGCTTGATCGCAAATGTTTCGAAAACTATGTCAAAGTATGTTTAGTATTTAGAATTTCTCGCAGAATACAAATATAGAATAAAATGTATAACATTCCATAAGAAAACCAAACGTTGCTATCAGTCTCTGAGAAACTGTAGATTTGGCAACATCGCGATTATCGTTAACGGATCTACCGAACATAAGCCTACCAATTTTTAAAAAAATTAGATTAGTCATTCGTCAGATATTTGATGCGTTCCAAACTTCTGTTACAGTCTGTATAAATGACAACTATAACAAATATGACTATATACAATGTAACGCAGAAATCATATTAAAGTTTTAACACACAGTATGGTAAACACGTATACAAACATGAGCAACATATTAAAAATGTAAAATCTAAAAATTAAAAACTAGAAAATTGCAGAAGATCGGATCCACCAAAATCCATCCACAATTACTTAGAGTGATCTAGAATCTAGGAAACCAACACGTTTCCACAGTGCATTTGAAAATCATCAACCTACAATTTTACCATATCTCACGCATATTTTAATTACTGTCTAAAATTCAATGTAATACCCAAAATTTGGAAGCTTGCACAAGTAATTCCCATACCAAAAAAGAGCAACCCTGAAGATCTGGGCGACCTTCGACCCATCAGCATCCTATGTACTCCATCAAAGGTCTTCGAAATGATTTTGGATGCTAGAATGAGGGACTTTGTTGCTAAAAATGACATTCTTCCAGAAAACCAATCAGGGTTCAGATCAGGTCACAGCTGCACAACAGCCTTGCTCAAAGTAACAGATGATATCCGCAAATACATTGATGATGGCAACCTATGCATCTTAATCTTATTAGATTTTCGAAGGCTTTTGATAAGCTAAACCATGATCTACTGATTGCTGTTCTTCACTACTTGGGTTTTTCTAAAAGTGCAGTTCATTTATTAAGAAATTATCCCAAAGATCGGGCACAAGTTGTCAAATGCTTTGGTGAAACATCCGAATTGTCTAAAGTTTGTCGAGGTGTACCTCAAGGATCTGTTGTAGGTCCACTCTTGTACACTCTGTATACCTCTCAGCTGCACAAAAGTTTTAAAACACGTCTCATATCACTTACGCCGATGACACTCAATTATATATTGCTTTTAATGAATCAGATATAAACCGAACTTTAAGTAACATAAATGAGGACCTTCAGGTTCTTTATCAGCTAACAAAAAAATATGTCTCTTCCGTCAACGCACTAAATCTAAGGCTCTACTATTTGGTAAAAACAAGAATCGTGAACTATACTCCAATAATTTAGACATTTATTTCGGACAAGACAAAATAACTTTTACAAACTCCGCTAAAAATTTAGGGGTTATTATGGATACAGATCTACGCTTTTCCCAGCATGTCTCTCTTATAACCAAAAGGGCATTTTCATCATTGAAACTGCTATACAATAGCAGAAGCATAATAACCAAGACAACAAAAATAATATTGTGCGAGTCTTTAGTTCTTTCTCACCTCAGCTATGCAGACTGCGCGTACGGCCCGTCATTGCTACATCGAGATAAGGCGCGCCTTCAGCGTATTCAAAATTCTTGTGTCAGGTTTGTTAGTGGTATTAGAAGGCGGCAGCCGATATCTCTTCACTTAAAGAACTTAGGTTGGCTCAATATAGAGAAAAGAAGGTTCCTTCATCGATCCGTACTATACCACAAGATACTCAATACTGAATCACCATCCTATCTTTACAAGAAGATCAAGACCCGTACAGAAGTGCATAGTCGTAACACGAGGTTTAAACATCATCTCTCACTACCTAAATTAAAACTTCAAATTATAAGTGCTCTTTTTCATATGACATTGTTAAGGTTTACAACTCGCTGCCTGATAGAATTAAAGCCCTATCAATTTTGAGATTTAAGCGAGAAGTGAAGACTATGTTGAGACTTGAGATGACTTAAATTTAACACTGCACGCTGATTTGCCTATTATTCTTCTGTATGTCTTTTTCGTACTATTCGTCATTTATTTGTCTGGGCGGTCCGTAGGACCTTTGCCCATTACTCGCTGTCTGATGTACGTTTTCGAATCTGTCAGTCCTGGTTGCCCAGAAACCAGACAAAGTCAAGGAGTCTTTTTCGTTTGATCTTTGACATTTTCCCTTCATAAGATATTAGCTACAACTTCTAGCAATCTCATTCAAGCATCAACTCGTTTTAATTATAGGTTTTACCAAGGTGCCTGCAACAGTTATATGTCATCTATGGATGTATAATAAATATATAGTTTTAAAACATAATATGTCTATATGTATCTGTGTTAACGTTCAAATTTTCTCTTGCTGTTATTATTATTACTGATACTACTTTATTTATTTTTTTTTTTTTGGTTAGGTGGAAGAGCGCGGATTGACAACTAATGGTTGTCAATCAAGCGAACCTTGCCGTTTGCTCACTGCATTAAATTTATGTACTTTTTCTTTTCTGTACTTACATGAGCAATAAAAGCAATTTATTATTATTATTATTATTAATAGTTGCAGCTTGTGATAGAATAAAAAGCACTCCAGGAATATTTCAACGAGTGCGCAATTCCATGAGAAGGAGGGCGGAAGCATGCATACTAAGTGAAGGGGAAGATTTTCAACAATTTTTGTAATCATTTCGTTGGTTTTAATTTTATGTTTATGTCGTCAGTTGTTTTTGTTCATTACCCCTAATGTGTTTAATTTTTCCAATTAAATTAATAATAATTTTGCAAGTTAGACAATAGAACGGCTTTTATATTTTTACAAAAAATGGTGCATCGAAAGAAAACAATTCAAGAGAGATCATTTGTTTTAAATTGAACGGGGAATTCAAAAATAATTTTTATTTGGCAAAAAACCATTGGCGTACAATTTTTCTCTTAAAAAATATCGAAGTCAATACCCATACGCACGCCACTGTTAAATCTAAAAATTATTTTTGGGTTGAAAAATATGCCACTTTATTAACTTTCACCACTACTAAATATCAGTGAAATATCTGGAGCAGTTCTGAAAATATTAATTAATTTCCATTTTTTCCCTAAAACTCCAACACCCTGAGTGAATAAGGAAACATTTTTGGACCATAGTCTATAAAGCAAACTAACATTAATTTTTCATGTAGATTCACACCCTTAAATATTCGCATATCATTAAGGAACACCCTGTATATAACCAAAGTGATGCAATTGAGTATTTCAATCACATAATTGACAAAGATGTAGAACACAGATGAAGTTGTTCCAGCAAGCTTCTGACAGTCAGCCAGTCTCAGCAATAGTTCCTGAAAAATACACTATAAAGACCCTCCATAGAAACACCTGTAAACAGAAAAGATGGATCATTAGTAGTTCATGGCAAGTAAAAAACAAACATTTCATAGACAATTTTATTATTCAAACCCATCCTGATGCACAGCCTATCAATAGGGAAAATGTGAGTCTTTCGCGCTGACTACAATAGAAGAATCCAGGTTTAGTTTAACGAGTATAATTCGTGTTAGACCTACCGCTTGTGAGGTTGCCGGTTGCAAACTGGGATGCAAGTAATGACTGCTATCTGGGTCTTGATCATCTGCTGATGTGTCTGGAATCAAATGGTAGTTTAGAATTTTGATTTGCAATATCCAGTATCTTTTGCAGCAAAACAACGCGGCTTGAGCAGTGCTGGAAATCTGCTCCAGCCACTGGTCTGTCAAATGCAATAAAATCTAATATATTTTTTTCAAGTTGACAACCCTATGCACGTCTCTTAGCAAGTAGCAAGTATGCTTTAGGTCAGTTTCAGAATGTCATCCAAATGAAGTGATAATCAATAAAGCAAATGTCACATAATCCGTGTTTATGGTCCATTCCATCTGTACTTACTGATACTTGTGTCAGTATCAGAGGATTTACACATAACATTATACATCACACTGTGCTACGATACAGTGCAAGTTTATAGTTATTTTTTACAAAAGCATGCACTATGTGCTATACAACAGCCTAGAGTAGCCCTAATAATCACATTATAAACATTGAATAGTGCAGTGTTAACATAAACAGGATAGTCATGTGGTTAGCTAAGCACAGTGTAAACATGGACAATAATTACTGACATCCTAGCTACATATGATAAATACTGATGGATCACAGTAAATGCCTAACAATGAACATAATCTTCATATTCCAGACAGCACCAATGACCAGTTGCACCATCTTTCAAGCTAAACTGATTATTGATTTTGATATTTTTGTTCTATCAGATACACTTAAACCATGAGTGCAACTTATACAGATGAGCAAAGTCAAAGTTCTCCTCTGCTTAAGGTGGATTTTTAGCCTGAAATGTAGCTTGTTTTAAAAAATCACATTTTACTATTTCACAACATTGTCTGAAGAATGTCTGAAATAAGGATATAGATATCAGAGAGATTTCACATCATCTGAAAAACAGCTCTGTTTGTTCTGAGATTAATCTCAATATACTGATCACCTTTGCTGAGTGCTAGAGAGCAGCCATCTTTATGGTTAAAAACATAAAGAAAAATTGAATTAGTGAAAAGTGATATTACCTAGTTTTTCATTCATAATAGCTTCATATCCCTTGTAAATCCTACTCTTGAAAGCAGATAAGACATGCCTATAGTATTTGTAGAGTGGATCTCCTTGGTTTAAAAATGAGAACTGAGGATTGTCTGCCTGCTTTGCCTTAATCAGTATTTCCATTTGAGGTCCTTGACTGCAAACAAACATTGCAGTTTTCTCCAACCTTGTATTTTCTTTTACTGTCTTTGGCTGTGGAGAAAGATGCATTAAATAATAGAAATAAAGTTGCCTCACACAAAATGCTTTTAAAATGGTTATAAAACCTTCTAGCTTCTTTGAAAAGATTGCAAATTTCAGAATCATTTGTTGTACTTCATTTAGAATTTAAACCATCATAAGTAAAATTGCTCTAAAAAAGCTTTGACCCAATAAAAAATGAAGTAAGCAAGTAAGAAATGCTGCAATATCTTACTATTTCTATATCAACAGGTACATCCAATATTGGTAGTGGGACATATTGTTCCTCCTTTTCTTCAGCTCCCAACACTATTGGTTTCTCAGGTTCATCTTTCTTTTCTGGAGGTACATCATAACTATATCCAATTGTGTTTGTAAATTTTCGTTTCTGTTCTTCATCTAAAATATTATCATGTGTTTAACAGAATCATTCAACATTGGAAAATTGAACTCCAAGCAGTATAATGTTACAAATAAGGTTATCAATTGATAGCTAGGTAATAAACAGGCAATGTTAGACTGATTGAGTAATAAGATGAGTCTAGTAACAAGACATAATTTCCATCCATGATAGAATTTTTGAATCTCAAAACCTTTCCCTCAAAAAAAGCTTGAGGTATAACATTGATTTGGGGTTAGCATATTACATCAAGTTATTGTTTATTTGAAATCTGGAATTAAACAAGTCAGCTTGGTGGTATTCAGTACAGCTGGGGTTATGGGTAGTACCCACAGAACAAGGCCAGGGGGGGCAGATACATAATCATAACTTACACAAACTTGTCCCTAGAGCCTTCAGCTGCGAAGGCATCAGGAGGGGCCACAAAGCAAGAAAATGTAATATCACCAACAATCTGGCACCCTTTCCAAAGATTGGAAAGGGGTCCATTATAGAACATATTTTACTGTTCGAGTTGCAACCACTATCAACATTTAGCCTTAGATTAACATTCTTTGCCTGGGGTACTTCCATCTGTAGCTCTGCCGCTTGAACTCATACCTTACATAACCTATATGGAAAACTTTGATTATTTTCATTTCTGTTTACCTTTATACATCTGCTCCTCCTCTTCATTTATCTCCAGCGCATAGTATCTTTCTTTGTCACAAAGTTCTTCCAGTTGTCGCTCCTTATCACTGAGCCCCAACCATCTTGTGGCATCATATCCTTCTCTGCTCGCCTCATACTTCTTTATATCGGACAGATGGCCTCGGCAATCATATCTGTAATAAGATATATTAAAAGGTACTGGAAGTATAACCAAAATATAACTAACCTATCTATCTTCAGGCTTGGATCTCCCATCCATGGTATGAGATGTTTACCCTGGTCGATGTATAAGGCTTTTTCGTCATCCCTAAATAATTTGCAGGCATATCCGAACACCAGCAGCTCTTCATGATTTTCTACTGGCACAGATTTTCTCAATATTCCACTTTCATTGCCATTCCATTGTGCCATTTTTGTATTTTTCTTATGATTATAATTATTTTCCACAGCACAGAACAAACAGAAACAGAACATATACACACAAGCACAAAACGCTAGAGGTGTTGAAAAAGTTACTCAAGTACTCGTTACTCATGGATACCCGAAGTAACAAGTATCAATCCGAGCACGAAATGATTACCTACTTTGATTACCCTGTTATCCGTACCCCGGTTCACGTACAATCGTTGATCGTTGACGGTTGTCGTTTGTCGTTGAGTTGCAACGCTGGTTTCGGTCATCTTAGGCATCACTGTAGCACTGCCGCAAGCATAAGGATTTCCAGACTTCCCACGTTCGGGTGGAAACCTGGAAACTCCAGATTTAAAAACAATTATCAAATTCTATGTCAGCCTGTCAAAAAAAAATTAAGTGTACCTATTACCAAACGTGGCTCAAATTCGCTAGGATTGTGATGATGGCAACCTGAAAAGGGATACGGAGTCGACTGGATTGGAGCAAAATTCGGCAGTATTATGAGCCAGCGACAGTTCAAGAACTCCATAATAATGAAAATTATGTCAATTTGTGCTGTTTACTTGTCCCACATTTTGCCAGAAATCTATAACTAGTATGACCAAAAAAAAGTACGTGTAGACTAAACTCCACGTAGAATTTTTTATACTGGTACATGCATAATTGAAATGCTTCGAAAAATTATTTACCATTCCAAAGTTTCTTAAGCCCATATACATCATCTTTCTACATATACAAGTGTAGATTTGTGTGCTAATAATATATTGATGATAATTCCATTGGATTCTTGTCTCAAATACACTTAATTGAGATTCAAAGCTAGAAATTAGTTGCGCATCCATTTTTCTTACCCATTCTAGAAGTTACATATGCAAACTTGCTGAATTTGAAAATGAGAGAGGTAAGAAATAATTATATTCACTGTACACTGTCGAATTACAAGTCATATACATGCTAACAGTAATTAGACACAACGTGGGCGCGGTGGTGATATCCCGTAATTCTGCTCAAAGTTTTTGAAAACACAAAAAAACGTAAAAAATCGTAATTTATAATTTTGAACATAACCTGTTTTCAGAACATATAAATAACCCGTCGGGCAGGGCTAATAAATATACTTCATTGGCAGTATTTCAGTAATGATTTTCTCACACAGCAAATATCACTGATTTTATACACATGCAGATCTAGACAATCATCCAAATGCGATCTTGCTATTCAACCAACTTTCTTCTCAGAGATGAAAACTATAGACTACTCGGCTTCACAAAACATATGCAACCAACAATGCGGGTAGTTCAGTCATTCCTTCATAGATGGACGCTCACAACGACCCTGGTGAGCAAACGTGGTATGACTACTTGCACCTTAAAAACTACCTAGTCTGCAAGATGACATTAATCAAAACCAAGAGACTAACCAAAATGTCTGTGTTACTTACCATGTTATAATGTGGCTTAAGATGACCCACGAGTTGATGACGTCAGTTACTCGAGTCGCTTGAACGCGTTGATTTTAACCACGGTTTTTTGCAAATTGTTTATTTTGGAAAAGTGCGCCTATATAATTTCTGATTATTTTTTATTATTACTTAACAATCGGTGCTTTTTCGTCTACAACAGTGATATCGAAAATTTAAAAAAGGAAAGTTTCATAATATTAATGGGATAAATGTTTTTTTTTCAGAAGATATTGTTCAGGTGTTAAATCACTTAAGAAAACATCTGTTATTTATAAACAAGTTTGTCGTATAAATAAAAAAAGACGCCAAAAATTCTAGTGGTGGAACCATGGCTTTGTAGCTCTGATAACTTTCAATTCTTTAAACTTTTCCGCATGTCAAAGAAAACATTTATTGATTTTGCAGAAATGATAGTAAAAGCGACGACGAATAAAGATATTAGCAAAACCGTATATAGGTGGACACTATCCAATATATGGCCATATTTTAATATTCTTGTATATCTACAGAGGATCCTTTGTTAAGCATAGGAACTTGATAGAAAGTGTCCCCAACAACAGCAATGAGTATAACTAATAAGGTACTGTACTTTATGCTAAAACTGAAGTCAGATTGTATCAAGTTTCCCTACAATGAAGCTGAAGTACAACAAAAATATCCAATACCCGGCAAAATTCTAACTTGTCACATTTCACATATTAACCAGAAATAGAACTACTCCTGAGTTGGGTAAATACTAATGCCCTGTCCAGACTCACGCGCGAAGCCGCGAACTACCCGCGACCCATGAGTGTGGATCCCATTCGCGTATTCTTCGCGGTTTCGCGTCGCGTTCGCGCGTTGTTTCCGTTTGGTGTCGGTGTTTTTGTCCCGCGACAAACGGTTCGCAAGGCGCGAACATGACTAGGCTCCACATTCGCTGGTGGCTCAGTTGCCTCAAAGCGAGTGCCAGTAGTGGTTATGTTTTCTCCCTTCTTTTCAATTGTTTTAGTTTTACTTATATATGCGTAATTATAAATTGCCAATACGCAAAGTAGCCCTGCAGCAGCAGTAGCAATTTCACCATCCATACTCGTCAAGAGCGCGAACTATACTGTGAAGCTGGCGCGAACATCTGCGAGTGTGGAACTGTAGGAACAAATTTCGCAGCGATTTCACGCCGTGATCCGCGCGTGAGTCTGGAGAGGGCATAAGGGTAAATACCACAATTTTACAGGGATAACTATGACATATAACCACTGATTCATGACCTCACGGACCTTATAAACCAAACTGATAACCACACTCGGTTGAACGGATCGGTAAATACCAATCCAAAATGATAAATACCATTTTCATTTGGTTATTCGTTTGAATTTGATTATTTTATAGGTTTTTTTTACGTTTTATAGGTCTTTTACATAATACCCGTGCCGAGTAAATATAACATGACCACGCATGATAACTGCTGAAATAATACTCTACTAGGCTCTACCAGAGTAACAATTTACGAACGCAGCACTGTGTACGGTTTGATGTATATTCTCTGACTCAGTGAGTCGTTACTATAGGCAATACAATACTCTCATCAGCTTCGAGACCGGTCGGTAATCATATCGTTCAAATAAACGACTCAGTAAAGAGAGATGAACGAAATGAGAGAGCTCAGAGAAAAAAGTCGTATGTCTCAAGCCTATACCTAAATAACATAATTATAGAACACAAAGAATCTCGAGAGAAGAAATGATCGAGGACGATAACTATTCATTCAAGTACAAAACACTGGGTTGACAGTGGCGCTGCAACCTACAACGGCTGTTAGGCAAGGCGCGCACTGAGGTAGTGTGGTAGTGGTGAGGTATTGGAGTGGTGAGAGGCATAGGGATGGTAAAATTTGGCGTGGCGATCGGAATAGCGGCGAAGTGGTATGAAAGTGATATAAAGCGCACTGAAGTGGCAAACAAGTCAGTTGATGTCACCGGTTTACCATGTCGTCCTCAGAAGATGAAGATGCCCTTTTATTTATGCAACTTGTTAATCTAAATGCTATAAGTCAGGAGACGAAGAAAAAACGGCATTGGGTTCATCCGCTGTGGCAAAAAAATAAAAAGTTTGGAATTTTTAATGTTTATAAAAAGGATTTGAACTTGGACGACCAAAAATTTAAACTTTTCTATCGAATGAAGAAAGAGACTTTTAGCAAGTTACTGACTAAACTACGGCCTATGCTTCAAAAAAATACGAACTTCAGGAAATGTGTTTCTCCCGAAGAAAGCGTTCTAATAACACTGAGGTACGTACAATTGAAAAATATAAATACAGATATATTTACTATCCAAATACAAACTTATTGTACAACATTATTCTTAAAAAGCAAATTCATGATCTGGTAATAATGGGTTATTATACTGAATATTTGGTAATAATGTATCTTGTGCTTGTGTGGATGTCTGACGTACTGTTGAAAACGAAATATCTTCATATGTCCGCGAATCAGCTGTCTCACATTGAGGTCGAATAGAGCTGGTACATGCTGAAGAGGAACGGGTAGAAGGCTCAGAAGGTATACCTTCTGCAGCAAGCGATGAATAACTAGACGTTGGGGAGAAGAGAGGTGCAGAAATATGAGACACTACAGGCTCATCCAAGATTTCACCGGCAAGATTTAGGACTCCCACTTTATATTTTCTTTTCTGCTTGTCTGACATTTTTTTTAAATCGGGCAATAGACTCAACAAAAACTGCACATCGGCATCATCATTAGTGAAAGCAGGTGGTTTATACGGTGCTTGCTTCTTTTTTTCAAAAAATTCAAAGGCAGATTTGTTAACATCTGCCAAAGATATTGGATTCGGAGTAGTTTTATTTCTTTTAGGATTATTTACACTAGGTACTGACGAACTGGATACACTTCTCTTTTGTGTTTTTTGCTTTGGATCTCCAGAATCATTTTTTTCCAAACTGTCTGTCTGAGATACAATAATATTTGATACAGGCTCGTTAAATTCTTCAGGAATCCACTGTTCATCATCAATATCGTCATTTCTCCCTTGGTTGTTTTTGTAATTTCCAATTTTTGGACTTCCTAATTGTTGAGTTTCAAGCTCTTCGGTCTCTAGGTCCTCCGTAATTGATTCTTCATGAATTATATCGGCCGTTTCAATATTCTTTGGTGCGTCAACATTTCCTTTCGGTTGGCGGGACTTAGTGAACGGTAAAACAAAACATATGTACTCCGAGAGATAGTATGGGCGTTTTACCGATGCTCCAGATCCAGATGGCATGTATGTCTTTAAATGTTTCGTGTAACTTCCACGTAAATTCTTCCACCTTTTTTGCAATCTGCGATGGTAGCTACAATAAAAACACATCATTAAGATATACAAATGAAGCGTGCTGAGCATAATGTGTGTGTAAAGTTTACTTTATTGCTTGCTATTTTATATAAATAATATTGTTATTAATATTCACTTTTTTACGCTTTCGAACACTATTAAAAAAGTGAAATAACGCCAATTGATATGTAATTTTTATATTTTTAAACCAAAATGCCGTGATGTGGGGAAAACCACCACTTCCACCACTTGTTGTTTGTTAAGTACCTACGTAAATTAACC